AGCCTGCCGGCCTGAGGCGCTGTCAGGTGAGGCGCGGCCGCGGTGGCGGTGCCGCGTGGTGTCCTGGCCCGCTTCTCTGCTGGCGCTCTCCTGGGGGCTGGCGTTTTCGGGCCCGTCGGCCCGTGCTAGGTGTGGGCCTTCCGCGCGACGTGAGCGGCTTGTGTCATAGCTGGACCTTCGTCTTTCTTAAGAAAATGTGTGTTTCTCTGATACACTTTCTTGGCTGATTTTTTTTAAGTGGGTTATTTAATCTACTTTTTTGCCATTACATAGAAAAGCTGAATTTTTTCAGTATTTCCTGGTTAGGCTGAATTTACTTAGAAACACTAATGTGCTTGTGGGTTATCGGGCATTTTCAGCGTACACAGTCGTGTGCCTATCAGCGCCGCGTTCTTTCCCATCTTTACACTTTCCCAGCGCCACTAACTGACTCCGGTGACCTAGAGTGTGGGTAGACGTGGTGTATCAGGCCCTCCTGGAGGCACAGTGGGGTTAGAGTTCAATCCCCACCCTGGAGGTGACCCCCAGGGTGCAGCAGACCCCTCCTGTCTCCCCACCCCTGCCCCCTCAGCAGTGTATTTAGTTGATCTGCCTGTTGTGCTCCCCACTGCTCTGGGGAGTCCTCTTGCCACCCCGCACCTCTGGCCCGTACCCCAGTTCTGTATACGGCCTCCATGGGTGTCACGCCTCCAGCTTTCCTGGCATTGGAAGCTGAATTCTCTGTTAGGTTTTCACAGCCTGCCTTTTCAACATCCTGGTGGCCCTTTTCGCCACAAGGGCCTGAAAAGGCAAAAGGCCTTAAGAGAGCTGCGGTCCTCCCCGCTAGGAGCCACGAGGGTCGGCTTTAGAAGTAAGTGTGTTGTCACGGGCCCTTTAACGACAGGGAGCAGCGGTCACTCTGGCTGGACACCTGTGCCGCGTCGGCCCTGTGTCGGCAGGCGTGAATCCAGGTGCAGAGGGCTGTGAGACAGCGTGAAGCCCCCCCCGCCCCGTGGGTTCAGGGAGGCACCAGGCTGGGCAGCGGGACTGCTGGCCTTGGGCAGATGGTGAATTGCTCTCGCCGGCAGCCTGGCCACCCTGAACTGAATGGGAGGCCAGTGACTGCTGGTCCTGACCAAACCTGGAAGAAGGAACGATCAGATTTGTTTAATGAGCCCTTTCTAAAAAAGTAACCTTTGAAACAGATCCTCCGCACGCAGGCAGTTTAAAGTGCTTTAGACCTTCCCAAGTCCCTGCCCTCCCTGGCGACCAGCAGGTTGGGACGCAGCGCAGCAGGCTGCCATAGCCACTTCAGCGCGAGTCCGATCCCTGGCCCGGAGGTGACCCCACGGCACGGCAGACCCTGCTGTCTCCCCGCTGCCCCAGCAGTGTGCTCCATCCATCCGCCTGTTCTGCTCCCCACCCTGTCCGGGGAGCCCTCTCCCCCATATGCACAAATGCAATCCTAAAAAAAAAAATCCACCCAAGTCCTTGGTAACCTGGAGTCCAGTTAGCTTAGTTTCCTTATTCTCAGAGGCAGCGCGTGCCGGCTTTGGGTGTACAGTGGCCGTGGGGCACGCACGACACAGGGAGCGGGCAGCTACCGCAAGGTGATGGCTACCCTGCTAGATTTTTAAAAATTGGGATACCCCGTTGTGAAATGCTAAGTCACGCCCATTGGGGTGGCCGTGAAGAACAGAGAAAGCAGTCAGCGCAGGCGAGCAGGGAGAGACAGCCGAGCCTTGGGCTCTCTGTAAGTGAGGTGGCCGCCGTGGCACTAAGGGAGCCCAGATGTGGGAGGGCCGCTGGCCACGTGCTCACAGGTGGACATCTCCACGCAGGGACGCGAAGATGTGTTTGCACAACCAGGCACTTAGCCTGGCTGTTACTGGTCGCCGAAGGTGGTGACGACCCCTTGCATGGGCAGAGAGTGGGAACGTGGGGTTCCCGGCGGCCGCTGGAGATGAGGCGGCCTGGCCACGCGGGGCTGTCCGGGGAGCCAGCTTCCTGCGCCTTCAGGTTCGTGGCCTGCTCACAGCGAGCGAGGCTGGGGGCAGCGGCGGAGCCCGTGGGGCTCAGTCCATTCGCCGAGACTTGACGCTCGTACTGGGTGCTCCCGCCTTGTGTGCGTAAGAAGGGTCAGGTGCTAAAAAACCCGTGGGTTTTTTCACTGTGGTAAATGTTAGAAAATACAACGTGCTCTCCACCATGTACATTTGCTAAAGTAAAGCTTAACCTGTGGAGGAGAAATAAGAGTAGACTCCTGTCAGGTTTTAAAATATGTAAGCCAGTTCTTCGGCAGGGGGAGGTTTTCATTTGCCCTTTCCTTGACTGACACGTCTAGCCTGCTGCTCCCACGGTTCATCCTGATGCGATACTTGGCCCTCGAGTCTGCTGATCGCGTGTTACCCTTCTGCAGAACTGGAATGTTGAATTACTTCCTGTGATGGGAAGATGGTAGGTCGGTGCTGGGGTTCTGTGACCATTAATTACTAGGACAATTGATGAAGACAACCGAAACGTGACGGATTGGGTAGTTTTCGTTACTTACTAACTTACTGGAAATGCGTCTTAACGAGATAAGGCGTTCAAGAGTGCTCATAATTTCCGGTGACTCGATTATTGCTGGGATGACTCAGGGTTTTCAACATCAGATAGATTGAGCTCTGCGTGTTTCGGGCCTGGGCTCCGAGCAGATGCGCGCACCGCATGAGGGGGTCAGGGAAGCGGCTGCCAGAGGCTGCCAGGTGCCGGGCGTCTCGGCGCCTCCCTCTCGCCCGTCAGTCCTGTGCTCGGGCACTCCTTCCCAAAAATGGAAGTTGAAAAGAGAGAACTGGAAGCCACTTAAGTTGTGAAAAGAGGCCTCCCTGGTGGCACCGGGGTTGAGTGCAGCGCCGTGAGGCTGTCGCAGACCCTGCAGCGTGAGTCCAGCCCCGGCCAGGGAGTGGCCACTGGGCGCAGCGGACCCCCCTTCTCCCCGCTGCCTCCTCAGCAGTGGGTTTCAGTCTGCCGGTTCTGTTCCCTGCTGTCTCTGGGGAGTTTTCTCACCCCACCCCTACCTCGGGCCTGCACCCCAGCTCTTGTGTGCATCAGTAAATAAGTCATTTAAAAAATAAATTGTGAACAGATTTGTCATCCAAGTCATTTGTGTTGAATTCCTCAGTTTTTCCGATGTGTGTCGGGGATGCTTCGCGATGATTTCAGGTGACTTCACTTAGCTGAGGCGTTATTTAACCTCATTTAGCTAAAGGACCGAGACAGTTTAAACACCGCCTGATAAAAGTATGCTTTTCCCAGTGTAGTACTTGAAATGCTTTGTATCTGGAAAATCCTGTGAAATGCTTTGTGTGGACAATCCTAATTTCCTGAAGTCGGATCTTACTGTCAAGCCCAGCTGTTGGGTCAGACTTGGTTGTGTCTGACAAAAATCTGAATTCACTCCCCCCCAGCGCTTTTTTATGACCATTTGCAAACATACAAAATGCTGAATGAATTATAAAGTGAAATTGTAATACCTGCAGCGGAGACGTCTCGCTCTAGCAAATGTCATGTTTGCTTTATCACACACCGTCTCTTCTGCTTGTCAACCCGTCTTGTTTTTTATGGCGCAGACAGGAGAGTAACTCATCCCTGAAACAGCCTGCGTAGCCTTAATTTTCAATATTTGTTTCCCACTTCTAAGCTAAATTTATACACAGTGACATCCTGAGGTGTGAAGCGCACCGCGTCCTGTGTGCAGTTCTGAGACGTGACATGCGGCGCCAGTCAGAATACAGGCTGTGCCAGCCCGGCCTCCCGCCTGATGCCCCTGTGCCGTCCTCACCACTGCCCCGGCGGGCAGCTGGAGTCTGGTTGCCATCAGCGTCAGCTTTGCCTCGTCCAGAAAGTCAAGCAAATGGGCCCGACATGAGAAACGTCGTGACGGAGGACGTCTTCCGTGGTGTCGCTGCTGCCAGCCCAGCTGCCTGTCGTGGCAGGAGCATGGCTGGTGCCAGGTCCTTGCCTGGGCCTAGCGCTGCCGTCCCCGGTGCCCTGACCCCGGGTTGAGGCCCTCACACTGGGGTAGGGGCAGACGCCTAGTTTGCGGTGATGGGCGTGTCCTTGGCCTGGGCAGGTGGCCATGGAGAAGCAGGAGGAGGGTCGCGTGGGCACCCGGGAGGGCAGTCCCGGCTCAGCCTGTGCGGGCAGCTCGCAGGGGCGGAGGCGACTGTGACGCAGCAGCCCCGAGGCCCTCCCGCATGCTGTGTCCTCTGGCTCAGCCTGAGGCCCCTGGCCACGGGCAGATGGGGTGCTTCAGGGCCGGCAGAGCTGTCCTCCCTGGCCTGGGCGCCCTGGGCGGGCCTGCTGCTGTCTAGTGACGTCCTGCAGCACCACATGCGGCCGTGGCTCCTGCGTCTTTGTGAGGGGGCAGCCAGTGCCGGGCACGCATTGGCAGAGGCTGGGGCAGGAGGGCACGGTGGAGGGACCCGGCAGGAGTCCTGGGTTCCGGCAAGCTGGCTTCCCTTGCTGGGCTGAGGACCCTGGCTGGCTGGTGCGCTGGTGTGGTGAGGTAGGGCGGAGACCCGAGCTCAGAAGGGCCGGCACGCCATTCTGCCGTGTGCCAGCTGGTTGCAGGCGGGTGCTCCCGAGGGAGGCCCGTGGTGAGACCAGGGGCCAGGGTTCCCCCGGGCGCTGTGGGTCTGCTCTGGTACCAGGCTATGCCAGTGTGGAGCAGCCGGGCGGCAGCAGCTCCTTTTCTCTGCCCCAAGTGGTTCCAGGGTTACTGGGCTGCTCCAGAGGGCCCAGTGTGCAGCGCTGCCGGAGCTGGCCTGTTTCTCGGGGACCGGCCGTGTCGGGGTGCCGTGCGGGGCCGCTTGCAGTGCATAATTCTGCTGATGAGAGCGCGCAGCTTTGCTTTGGGCTTGAGCAAGCAGCTGGAGAGAGTCCAGCACTAGAGTGTTTTGGGTTTGGGGGTGGAGAGCAGAGGGAGGAGGAGGGGCGGAGGCAGAGCCGGAGCAGGAGCAGGAACGCGCTCGCTCGGCGGAGGACTCCAGGGCCTGGGGCTGGCAGCCACGCATCCCGCTCGCGGACTGTTCCAAGCGGCAAGTCTCCTCCCCGCAGCCCTCTGCTCCTCCCCGCGCTGGGAGGGCGATGCCGCTCGCCCTGCTCGGCGGCGGCTGATGTCACTGGCAGCAGGAAGCAGCGGCAGCCTGGTCACATGCTGGCCCGTCTGTACTGCGGACGGGGCAGGGGTGGGGGCCGCATGGCAGCGCCTGCAGCGTCCAGACAGCTGGGTGTCCGCCCTGGAGCCGGGGACGCTGTTGTGGACTGTGTCTATTGTTGATGGTCCTGGGGAAAACTGCCCTTAACTCGGGGTCTCTGCTGTCCCCCAAGCAGACTTCCAGGACGCTGAAGAAACAGCTACAAGCAGGATGCTTTTCCCCACCTCTGCGCAAGACCCCTCCCACGGCCCCCCAGATGCAGACGGCTTGTGCCTGGGCCTGCACTCGCTCAGCCTCGCGGGCTGGGACCGACCCTGGAGCACCCAGGACAGCGACTCCCCAGCCCAGAGCAGCACACCCTCGGGTGAGTGCCGGACTGAGGCTGGGGTGGGGGCTTGGGCAGCGAAGCTATCCTAGCAACAGTTGTTCTTCCTTTGCACCCCCCCAACATGGAGCTGTTTTGCAAGAGATGGCAAGGCTGGCTGAGGGGCAGGGCAGATGGCTGCCCGGGGGCCGGGCCAGGCCCCCAGAGAGCCAGGCTGCACCTGGGCCCCTCAGCAGGTCCAGCTGACGGCCTGACGCACAGACTGGCCACCCCGGTGCCCAGGCCTGTCTGGGAGATGACCAAGCAAAACACTTTTAGGTGGGGGAGGGGACTTGAGGGGCTACCCACCTGCCGCCCGCGTCCCAGTGCCCAGTGGCCTTTAAACTAGCGAGCGCCCCGGGACGGGAGAGTGGTCCCGAATCCCACGAAGGGGCGACGTTAGTCTCCGGGGAGGCTGGGTGGCCCTGGGAGCCTGGGGCTGTGCTCGAGAGGTCGGAAGCACTCTGGGGCCGGGTGGGGTAGCTGTCAGCCGGGGCTCTTTGCTCTTTGTGTCAGGGTGACCAAGTGGATGAAGGAGATGCCACTGCCCCCCGCCCCCCTGGTCCCTTGTCATCTGGGAGGATCAGCCCGAGGGGCTTCCTGGCAGCCCTGATGTGCTGCTGCTGGGACTGTCCCCTGCCGCCTGTCCCCTGAGGGGCTGCCCGGCCGCGGTGGGCTTGATCAGGCGGTGGCTGAGTGAAGGCAGCAGGCGCGATCCTGAGGAAGAGGGATGTGGGTGGGGCGGCTGCTGGCGTGGGCCTGGCCGCTGAGCCCCAACCTGCCGTGGCAGGAAGGTGCCGTCCTGGTGGTTTCTACAGCCCCCACCCTGCCCGGTGGGTCTCCTCGCAGGGTGCGGAGCCCGGGGCTGGGGGCTGCTGGCCATCGGAGGCCAGTCGTTTCAGGGCACTCTCGCCTGACAGGGGAGGGGCGGTTTATTGGGCTCCAGAGGCAAAGCGAAGGCCTCAGCCTCTCAGGCTCCGTGACTTCAGCCTTCACTGGGCTCCGGGGTTTCCCAAGAGGCTGGTAGCGGCTGCCGGGCAGGGGGCTGGTGCTGTCCCGCGGTGCTGCTGGCAGGTCTGGGCCTCGGGACCAGGTGGTTTGTGGGGGGTGGGGGGAGCTTTGAGCTTCCCTTGTCCTCATGCCCACGGTCCTGGCACAGCACGGGCGGGCGCACGCAGGAGAGGGCACCGTGTTGCCCAGCGTCTGCTCCAGGCTCTTGCTTTCACTGGGGTTGGGCTGGGCGGGGCCCTTCTCTCCTCCTCTGGGCCTGGCTCCTTCCAGCTCCAGGGTCCTCGGAGACCTGCAGCTGGGGTCTTCGCAGGCCTGTGGAGCCTCTTGGGGCCGGGGGTGCCTGGCTGGGCGTCTCTGTGTGACGTGGGGCCGCAGACAGCCAGAGCAGCCACGCTGCGTGCGCCCGCCCTGTGCTGGTGCTGCTTGTCCTGAAGGGGTGGCTTTACGGCCCACCCGCCGCCCGGGCCCTCCGCCACGCGCGCTGCGTGCTTGTGTGCGTGGGGGGCTGCGGCGTGGGGCCCTCGTGTGCCGGGTCGGGAGCCGCCCCGAGGTGAGCCCGGCGCAGTGCCTCCCTCACCGTGCTGCCGTGGGTTTCAGAGCTCTGGGCCTCCTTGCAAAGTTGGGGGGGGTTGCCCCAGTGTGGGAGGCAGCCCTCCCACCAGCCAGCTGCAGTGCCAGATCGGGCACCCTCGCCAGCACTGCGGGAACATGCAGCCCCCGTCCAGCGCCTACACGGCTCCCGTCTGAGGGCTGCTCGCGCCACTCGGGGAGGAGCCGCCCGCCCGCCCGCCCGCCGGGGCTTGTCTGCAGGCGTCGCGGCAGAGCTCAGGGTGTGCCCTTGGGGCGCTCCTCGCCCCCCTCGCCCCAGGCCCTCCTGGCTTGGAGTCGAGGCACTGCCTCCTTAAAGCGTCCAACAGCGGGGGCAGCGGTGGAGGTGACGCAGGCGCTGCCAGCTTCACGCCGGGGCTGCGTGCCGGCACTGGCAGCCCCGAGGTGGCTGGCAGAGGGCTCTGGCATCGCCCGAGAGTCATGGGGATCCGGCGAGAAGGGGCCCCGGGAGCTGCCCTGCGGCAGTGCCCACGTGACTGGCGCAGGGTCTTCAGCAGAACCCTTCCCTTCGGTGTGAGCCTGGACCGGGCCCTGCTGCCCACCATTGGCGGGAGGACCCTGGGGGTCCGGTCGGGGGTTCTGCCTGCAAGGCCGGTGTTGCTTCGGCCCTTTGCGGGCCTTCCGGACTCCGCCCTGCCAAGCCTTGGCGCTCCCTGGGGTCAGCCTTTCAGGGAGCCTGAGCAGAGCCCCGGGGACACCTTGGTCCTGCTGCTGGTGTCCTCAGCCCTCAAGTGGGGAGCAGAGCTGTGGCTGCTGCCCTCGGTAACTCCAGCTGGGCCAGGGTCACCGATGCGTGTGCTGTGCCCACGGTGACCGCTGGAAGCATCCAGGTCCTCGGGGCCGTGCGTTCCCTGGCGTGGTCTTTTGTGCTCCCGTGGTGGGGCGGTGGCACCCGGGCCTCGCAGGTTCCCAGGCTCTCTGGCTGTCACCACCCTGTGTTCCTGTGAGCAGCGTCCTGTGAGCAGCGTCCGGCGTGCCGAGCGAGCCGTCCCGAGTCAAGGGTCACTGCAGACCTTGTGGGCTGCCCGTGCTGGTGGGTTCGCCCCCCACCCTGCGCGCAGCTCGGCAGCCGTGCCCCTCGGGCCTGTCCTCCCTCCCCCATTCCACGCAGCGTTACTCAGCAGGAAGCTGGGGACAGGCGTCTCCCCTGCACTGCCTGAGCAGGACCTGTCGACGCTGGCACAGCAGGGTGCCCCTTGCCCTTAGAGGCCTTTGTCGTGTCCCTGGGGTCTCCCCCTGCTAGCCAGCAAGTGTGGTTCCCCGTGCTTGAGCACAGGCTTCCCTGGGCTTCGTCACTGCTGGGAGGCAGCACTTCCAGCAGGGCTGGGCTCCTGCGGCCGGGGCACCCCTGTGCGGCGCTCAGCAGCCAGCTCGGCAGCGCCACAAGCCTGCGGGCTGCAGGGCCCAGGCCTCCTTGTGCACCTGGGCTCTGCCCTGTGGGGCGCAGGCGAGGGCTGTGCTGCCTCCGCCTCCTGCTGGTGTTCATCAGCAGGGTGGACGGGCCTTCTCCGGGGCCCAGGAGAACCTGGCCAGTGGCTCTCCGGTATCCTGTCCTGGGGAGCAGTTTTCCTGCTGAGGGGAGGGGCTCCTGAGACATGGGCCCCTTTCAGGTGTGGCAGACACGCAGGGGGCCCTCTGTAGTGGCGAGGGGGAGGGAAAGGCTGTGGCGGCGGAGAGCCCAGGCTCCCAGTCGCCCACCGCCTGTGGGCAGGCTCAGGGCTGCGCGTCGGGGTTCACGCCTGGCCGCGCCCCACCCCTTCCATGCCTCTTGAGGGCTTTGGAGCTGCCCGGGTTTGGGGCAGGGGCAAGAGGCCCGTCTGCGCCGCTCCGGCCGGTGGCCCTGCCCACGCCTGCTGGGCTCGGGCTCTGCCCGCGCCTGGCCGTGAAGTGCCAGGCCCGGCTGCCAGCAGCTCTGGGTGCCTTTGCGCGCGAGGGAGGCTTCAGAGAACTCCGCAGTGACTCAGCTATAAAGCCCACAGGAGCTGGCACAGAGGGTGAAAGTGGAGAAAGTTAACAATCATCTAAAAATATTCCTGCTGGTTTGGCCTCTGGTACTCTCCGAGGCAGCCGTCGTGAGCTGGAGGCCAGGCCAGGCCTCGCAGTGGCCACAGCTGGAGGCCCTCGGCCAGCCTCAGGCTTTCAGGGGCCGGGCCTGGGCCTCGCCCACCGGCGGGCCAGCACTTGGCCTCACGCTGAGCTCGACGGCCGCCTCAACGCACCGGGTCCTTGGTGGCCCTGGGCTGGGAGTCGGGCGCCCGCCTGCCGCTCAGGCTCTGTGACAGCAGGGAGCCTCGCGGGGCGCAGGAGGGTCCCTCTGCTCGGCCCCTCCCCTCCTGGCGTGCCGGTGGGGACCTGGCCGCCCCTCAGTGCCACACGCAGGAGAGGTGGAGCCATGGCCGCCCGACCCAGTGGCTGGCTGCATGTGGGGCAGCTTCCAGAAACACGCTCCTGCTGGGGTGAGGCAGAGTCCTGGCTCGACACCAGCTGTCTGGCTGTCCCCACATCCCGCTTCTGGTCGGGCTCCGCCTGGGCCCGGCCTCTTGTGATGCCACGTGAGGAAACTGAGGCGCCTGTTGGCAGGGCAGGGCTGTCAGTCCGGGCCCTCCGCTCGGCAGCCCTGAGCCCAGGTCTCCAGTGCACCCTCAGCACCTGTGACTGGGTCATCCCATCCCCACCGATCAGCCTGCAGAGGGCGAGTGGGCACCTACAGCCTGCACCTCTCTGGTCCAGGAAGCCGGTGCAGGTGTACTGCCAGGCCGCCGTGTTCTCTCAGCCCGTCCTGCGGGTGGCTGAGGGGGGCGCTTGACGGGACCTGGTCCAGACTGTGGGAGATGTGACTGGCCGGCAGCTGCCCGTGAGCATGGGCAGAGCATGGTTCCTTCATGGGCAGTGTGGGCCAGTCCTGCCAGAGTCCTGGCCAGACGGGCCTGTCGGACTCGAGAGCCGCGGGCTGGAGCTGGCTGGGGCGATCTCGGGAGTCCCCTGGACCCGGCAGGAAGGTGGCTGTTGACTGAACCAGGGTGGGGCGGGCACACCAGCCGTGCCACCTGGCATCTGACAGACTGGCACAGACGAGCCAGGTGGTCTACACGGCACCCAGACGCACCGTGCGTCTCTGACCATGGTGGAGCCCGAGGCTCTCGCAGCTGGGGTCACCCGCGGGAGCATTTCTGTACCCTGCTGTGCCCTGGGCCGCTTCTCGGGACCTGCGGCTGCCCTTCCGGCTGGGTGGCTAGTGACGTGTCCTCGGCGTCCGCCTCCACCACGGGCCTCTGCCCGCTCTGCCGTGCACCTCAAAGCCGTTCTGTCTTCTGGGTTTCCTGCACTGCCCAGCCTCCCCATCAAGTACCTCAGCGTCTGCTTCGAGTAGGTTGTGTGGTCGGTCAGGTGTCACCGGGTGGTGGTGCATGGGCTCTGTGCAGGGGGTGTGGTGTCTGGTCCCTCACACTCGTGCTGGAGGGTGGGCGCTGCCTCCAGCCCACTGCACCTGCTGGCCACAGGTGGACATGATGGTGCCTGAGAGGAAGTGGCTCTGGTGAGTGTCCACGGGCTCGCGCACCGCTCTCCGGGCCGTCGAGGACTCGGGCGCGCTCGCTTTCTCCTGCAGCCCCTTCTTCGGCCATCAGTGGAGCGGCCACCCCCAGAGCCTCGTACTCCTCGTGAATTCGGTTCCCTCACCCCAGGGTACCCTTCTGCTGCCTCTCTTGGCTGCTTTCCTGCCTCGGCTCCCCTCTGCCAAGGCGCGGCGCAGGGTGGGAGCCCCTGGCTCGCCGTCAGGTGTTCTCCATCCACGAGGGCGGGCCTGGGCCCCCAGAGCACTTGGCATGGAGGGGGGTGGGCTTAGGGCGCTGCCTGGCATCTTCTGCCTCCTCCGCAGCACCTGTAGTTCAGGGTGCGCGTGCCGGGGCTCCGGGGGCACTGCTCGCGTGAGCTGGCGTGCGGGTGCACCTGGCCGGGCTGGCGTGCTCAGGCCGCATGGTGGCTAGGTAGGGTTAGGGGACACGTGGGCACGGGCTAGGCTTTGTGGATGCTCAGGCCGGTGTGTCACATGCTGTGGCAGCCATAGCAGCAGGGTCCAGGTGGCAGGTCCTTCTAGGGGCTGGCACTGACTGACAAGCCTGGGTGGCAGAAGCAGCAGGGATCCCGGTCTGCAGAACGCCACCCTGAGGTGCCTGGGGGGCCGCGCCCACTGCCCCCTGCACTGTGGGCCTTGCGTGCTGTCGGCAGTTGCACCAGGTGTGTCTGCTGGCGTGGCTGCGTGAGGAGTGGGAAGCAGGCAGTGGCCACACGCGCCCCTTTTCTCTTCCAGTACTGAGCATGCTCCACACCCCTCTGGGCAGCGTCCTGGGGAAGCCCCCCTTGAGCTTCCTGCCCCTGGACCCCCTGGGATCAGACCTGGACAAGTTCCCAGTGCCGTCAGCTCGAGGGGCCCGCCTGGACACCCGGCCCATCCTGGACTCGCGCTCCAGCAGCCCCTCCGACTCCGACACCAGTGGCTTCAGCTCCGGATCAGACCACCTCTCGGATTTGATCGTAGGTCCCTTCTGGGGGCAGGGAGGGCTGTGCGGGTAAGCAGGCTGGGCAAGGAGGGTGCCGGCGGGAGCTGCCCATCCTCAGCAGCCTGCAGACGCTCCCCTGGCTGTGCCCTCGCCGTGCAGAAACTGTGCACCGGAGAGGCGGGTGCCCCGGCAGACCTTGACCCTTCAAGGGCACCATGCCGCCTCGTTCTCAGCGCCATAGCGCAGACTGGAGTGGAGGTTGAGAGCCCCGTCCCTAGCCGGCTGGGCCGTGGCCGCCCTCCGGCCCGTCTGAAGCCAGGTCGAGTTGGGGAAACCTCGTCTCCAGTCCACGTCTGCACCCCACGTCCGTGCAGGCAGAGTGGCGGGGACCGCAGCGGGGCCTGGGCCGGGGGGAGCGGGAGTCGCCCTAGCGCTGGGAGTCGGGCGACGCCTGCGCCTGGCTGCACACCCAGCCGCGGGCCGCTTCCCATTCTCGTGGGGCCTCGTGGGCATCAGCGCTGACGTCGTGTTCCCTGGTCGCTGGCTGTAGGTGCGGGCTGTTCCTAGAAGTGGCCCTGGGAAGCCCTCTGACCCGTGGACTGTGGGTCCTCCCGCCAGACCAGTGTCCGTGAGCTGCTCGCAGTTCCGTTCGCCACTTTAGAGGGCACTTGGCCTTGGAAAGTTGTAACCACTTTAATTGGAATTTTTTTAAGAAACAGATTGTCTTTACTTTTGCATAGAAGGTTTGGGGTGCGGGCCAGAGGGGCATTGGTGAGAGGACTCCCCAGAGACCGAGTGGGGAACAGAACAGGCAGGTCCACTGAACCCCACGGCTGAGGCGGCAGCGGGGAGACAGGAGGGGTCTGCTGCACCCTGGGGCGCCTCCCTGGCTGGGGTGCCCTCAGGCTGTCGTGGTGGTGCTGGGACTGACCCCAGGCCACCAGGCTGGTGCTGGTTGCTTGGCATTTTGTTGAAGAACTTCCTCAGACACCCACCTCAGGGCTGGTTGGTGAAGAAACAGGAACAGGTAACTCAGGGGAGGCCGTAAAGGCAGAGTCCCAGCTTATGGGATGGGCGGTGGGCTCGTCACTGCAGTCCTCCCCTGCCTGGCTCTGTGCCGCACTGTGCCTAGAGCAGCTGAATTTAAAGCCTCAGCGTCGGGTGTGAACCGGCGCTCGCACCCTTTCTGGTCGAGCACGGGGTCTCCCCAGGCCCGGGCACCCTGCTCCAGGGTTCTGACCGGAGGAGTTACAAGCGCGAAGCAGCTGTGCTGTGACGCTCTGGTCTGTAACGCGGACGCTGTGGCAAGTGCCTGGAGTCTGACACGGGCGGGAGAGCTAGCTTGTGCCCTCAGAGCTTCGTGAACAGCACGGCTCGGAGCGGAAACGGCCCTGAAACCGATGTGCAGAGGTTGAGTTGGGGAGAAAACTTGCTGAAGTCAGAGACAGCTAATCCTGAAACGTACAGGAAGCGAAACGTTTATCCAGTGTAAATGGTATTTTCCTAGTTTCTACAGTGCGATTGTTACTTCTGGAACTAAACTGCTGTTCAAAACCTCTATCTTCATTTTCCCCCCAGTCAAGCCTCCGAATTTCCCCTCCTCTGCCTTTCCTATCTCTGGCCGGGGGTGGTCCCAGAGACCCCTTAAAGATGGGGGTTGGGTCTCGGATGGACCAAGAGCAAGCTGCTCTCGCTGCGGTCACCCCCCCCCCACCCAGTGCATCAAAGAGCTGGCCGGGAGCACCCGTGTGGCCGTCCTGGGACCCCCTGGAAGCTCCCAAGGACCCCTTCAGCATAGAGAGAGAGGCGCGGCTGCACCGGCAGGCTGCGGGTGAGTGGTGTGGGCGGGAGGCGGGAGGCCAGCGGCCGGGGCGCGCTACCCATGGTGCGCTGCCCCGCACGCTGTTCTCGGAAAGCCGCTGCCCGCGGGGCAGCCTGGAAGCAAGACCAGGTCCTGTTCTTGCTCCAAGGCGCGTGGGCCCGTGGGCCTCCTGCCCTTTGTCCCCAAGACGTCAGCTGGCACGTGGGGCCCAGCGGGAAGAGAACGTTGGCCTCTCCTCTGGGCTGTCCCCAGTGTCCTGTCTTGCGGGCGCCCTATGGTTCTGTCGTTGAAGTAGCCTGAAGCCCATACAAACCTTTGTGGGCTGGGGTGCAGATGCCCGAGACTGGCGAGAGGTGCTGGCCGCCGTCGTCCAGCGGCCTGGCGTGGGGCCTGAGCTGTGGCCAGTGTGTGTCTGTCGGCCCGCCCGCTGGCGCGTAGACCCTGATGCGCCCTCTGCCCCCGAAGCGGCCCCCCCGCCGGGCCCCTCGGTCACAGCAGCCCGCTCTGGACTTCCCCACAGAGGGGGACCCGGCTTTGAGCGAGGCCATTGCGCTGGCTGGCTTTTGCTGACAGAACGTTGCCGCTGACGTCCCAGCAGGGCCTCGCCTCTCGGGGAAGGCCTCTGGCCTGCACCCGTATGAAGGGAAGGGTCGGCTCTTCAGCCGTGGCACTGAAGGAGGGAGGACCGTGGCAGGGCCCTGCCTGTCCTCACGAGGTCCGGCTCTGGCGAGGTCGCAGGGTGGGACCACAGTCACGGGAGGGCTGAGCTGGTGTCGGGCACAGATAGGCCAAGCGGAAGGCGGTGTCCACTCTCCGGACAGAAGGGTGCCCCGACACGGAGCTCAAGCCCGTCAGGGAGGCCTCCCGTGGCTTGGGGGACTGTGCCTGCACATCATCGCCCCGGGGCAGCTTGTCTGGGGCGTGGCTCCCGCAAGGGCCGCTGCGGGCTGTCAGCAGCGTCTGAGGGGCCTGCTCACGGGGCCGCAGGCGCACGTTCCTCCCTTGAGCGTTTGGGGGAAGCTCACCTTGGCCAAGACGCTCACAGCGTGACGTGTGCGAGTCTGCTGCTTACTTTCAGGGGACTGCAAACGCAGTCGGTGTTTACACAGCCGCTGGGAAAACCGCGGTGGGGTAGCGTGTCCGTTGCGGGCTCGTGAGCAGCCTGGGGCGGGTAACGTTGCTCTTCTTGGCTATGGGCGAGGCAGAGGGCGTTGGGTGCACGCGCTGTCAGGGTGGGGGCTGCAGCTTGTCTGTGCGGCTAGTCCTGGGGGTGCCCTCTGCGGACAGTGCGCCCAGGCCTCCCCGAGGACTCCGGCCGTGCTGGTCCCGAACCCCTCGTCTTCCCCCAAAGCTGTGAACGAGGCCACCTGCACCTGGAGCGGCCAACTTCCTCCCCGGAGCTACAAGAGCCCCGTCTACTCCTGCAAGGTGTTCCTGGGCGGCGTGCCCTGGGACATCACAGAAGGTGAGCGCCTCGCGGGGAGGGGCGGACTGCGCTTCCTGGCGCCCTTGCTGTCCACGGGGCGCTGCCCAGAGCCCCAGTCCGTGTCGCCCGCCAGACGGGGGAGGAAGCGTGAGCCTCTGTTTCTGCCCCCCCTTTGGTCTCTGCAGCTGGCCTGGTTAACACCTTCCGTGTTTTTGGCTCTTTGAGTGTGGAGTGGCCTGGTAAGGATGGCAAGCACCCCCGGTGCCCTCCCAAAGGTAATGTGCCTAAAGGTAATGACGACGTGGTAGGAGCTTTTTTTTCCCCTGGTATGTGGTGGCACTGAGGGCTGCATGCCGGTCACCTGCCCGGGCACCCTGGGCACAGCGCCTTCCACCAGCACTGTCCGGCCCAGCACGCTCTCCTCTGGCCTTCCCTTCCTCTGCGCAGACTCACTGCAGCTGGAGAGGCCTCGGACCCCTCCCGAACCCCCCCCCCGCCCCTCCTCCGAGCCCGCGCCCCTGTCCTCCGGAACGAGGGCTCTGAGAAGCTTCCTCTGCCTGCCTCCTGGCCGGTCGCGTTGCTGCCTGGCCTGGTTTTGAGGTCCCTTTGGAGCAGGCAGGCAGGAGGACCAGCCTCTGATCCCTCGCTGCTCTGAAGCGAGGTCCCTGCCCTGCAGCGAGGAGCAGCTGCTGTTTTCACCTGCCCCATCTTCTCAGACGTGTTGCGAGGACCTGCCCCGCGGCCTAAATGGGGCTTGAGGGCAGCAGCTCCGTGCCCACGCTGGCCACCGCCTGCCACCGGGGCCCCCGGGCTCCTCTACGGCCCGAGTGTGCTGTGCGGCTGAGACGGGCTCCTCCGCCCGCCCGCCAGCCCTGTCCTGGGGCGGGGAGACGCCCCGCGTGGGGCCTGGCCGGCGGGGCAGCGCGCGCTTCCTGCTCACGAGGCTGCCTCTCCCCCGGGAGCCCCGTGCTGGCTGCGCGGGCCGAGGGGTCTGGGCACCGACGGGCCGCTCTCCCGGGACAGGCTACGTGTACCTGGTCTTCGAGCTCGAGAAGTCCGTGCGGGCCCTGCTGGAGGCGTGCTCCCGCGACCCGCTGAGCCCCGGCGGCCTGAGCGAGCACTACTTCAAGATGTCCAGCCGCAGGATGCGCTGCAAGGAGGTGCGCGCGGGGCCTTCTGGGTGGGCAGTGCGGAGCCAGCCGGGGGCGGCTGCTGCGGCCTGCCTCACCGCAGGGACAGCGAGCGCCTCTCGGCTCCGGTGGGAAGAAGGCCTCGGCGTAGGGCGCAGGCACGCGGGCCGTGGGGGGCTCGCCTGCGGCCCCCCCTCCGTCCCGAGCCCCTGGTCTTAGGGAATTGGGGGCAGCAGCTCCCTGCTTGCACCCCCGTCCAGCGGGCACCCCGAAGGCCCTGCCCCGTGCAGGCTGTACTCCGTCCCCCGGTTACTTTCCCAGCCCCGGCCTGAGTGTCCTCGGCAGAGCGGGCCTTGGCAGCCTCACCCCAGGCACCGGGCTCCGCCTCAGGGCTCAGCGGTCAGTCTGGGCGGCCCGTGGCCGCCCCCGCCGCCGAGTCCTGTGTGCGGCCGGCCCTGGTTTCCCAAGCCGCCTGGCGCTCCGCGGCGGCGTGGCGCTTTAAGCCTGCTTCCAGAGATGGCCTTTTTGACATTGGACTAGATTTTTAATGTTTTTCAGACTTCAGTTCCTCCTCTATAAAAGGAAACTGAAACACTTATTTCAGGAAAAGAGGAGAGTTTGCAGGTTATGGGGGCGGGGGGCAGGCGTGTGGCATGGAGGGGCCGGCAGCAGGGCCGTGCCCCAGATCTGCGTCCTGCTGCTGGCGTCAGAGCCCAGGTGGGTCGGCGCCCGGCGGGGGCCCAGGCGTGAGCCGTGGCCCTGCGGGGTGGTGGTGTGGGGTGTCGGCTCACGCGAGAGGTGCACCTTCGTGGAGGTTCCCTTTTGACGGGGGGTGTCTGAGTAGCCCCTGTGCCAGCTGGCCCTCCATCTCCTGCTGCCCCTGTATCGGTTCTCACTGGCCCAGAAGAGGGCGATGCGTGTCCTGCAGAGACCGCTGGCCCCCCGCGCGCTCTGCCGAGGGGCAGGGCTGGAGCAGTGCCGCCCCCGTGCCCCGTACTGAGACAGGGACTCCCCCACGCCTGTGCGACTGCTCCCCTGTCCCCGCCTCACCTCCAGAATGGCCTGCGAGTGCCCGTGGTGTGGCTGTGCCCTGACACCGCCTCTCTGCTCCCCACGGAGCCCACCATCAGTGGGGTGTGCCTCAGGGGTCTCCTCCATGCCTGGCCAGGGTGGTGGCGGGGGCAAGGGGCAGAGCCTTCCGCCACCCCCTGGCTTCTCCAGGGCTGCTGCGGCCTCGAGCCTTGTTGCCCGGCAGCCGCCCGTGGCGAGGAGCCTCCCTGGCCCGCCCTGTTGTGGGCCCGGCACCGCCAGCCTTCGCGCTGGTTTCGGGGACTGCTAGCGCGTCACCCCACCTACCCCCACGGCGCACCAGTTGCTTTGTGGGCGTAGAAGCAGGTCTGCAGCTGGTCGGGCTCACGCACCCTCGGGTGGTTTTCAGGTGCAAGTGATCCCCTGGGTCTTGGCTGACAGCAACTTTGTCCGAAGCCCATCTCAGAGGCTGGACCCCAGCAGGACGGTGTTTGTGGGTGCGCTGCACGGGATGCTCAACGCCGAGGCCCTGGCGGCCATCCTGAACGACCTCTTCGGGGGCGTGGTGTACGCCGGCATCGATACAGATAAGCACAAGTACCCCATCGGTGAGTGTGCGCTCGGCGTGGGCCGGGAGGGGAGACCAGCTCGCCCGCTTCTCCCGGGAGCCCTCGGCCCATCTCCTGGCACCGCGCCAAGGGGCGGCGGGTCCCGGGCGACAGGAACACCGCGGGCTTGGCCGGCCTGGCCGCCTTTCCTACAGCCCGGTTCACGTTCACGGCTCTGCTCGCGCCTGAAGGACGCCTGCTCCTCGCCGGTGTCGCCCCGCGGCGTCCGACCCCGAGTCCCCGTGCGCCGCCCTCCTGGCCTCTCCTCTCCGTCGCCTGCTGGTCTTGCCGTGTTTGTTTTCCCTGATTCCTTGTTTGACTCCCGTGTTCCCCGTCAGCCCATTGACCCCCCTTCTTTCCGGCTCACTTCGCTGAGCAGGATTCCGCCGCTGCACCCTTGCTGCTGCGCGTGGCGTGAGCGCGTCTCCCTGACGGCCGAGGAGGGCACGGGGACTGCCCTCCTGACCTGTCGCTGTTCGGGCATTTGGGCTGTTTCCTTCGCTTCCCGACTGCGCCAGCACTGCAGCAGCCAGGCGCGGGCGTTCGTTTGGGTGAACGTCTGTCCAGGGGTGTCCCGGGGTGGGCTTGCCGGGTCGCAGGGCGGCCCCAGGCTTGCTGGCTCGAGGGCCCTCCGCCGAGCGCTCCCCGGCGGCGTGGGCGGCCTCGTCTTTGCCCGCAGCCCCTCAGCGGCGGCGCGCTGTTAGTCTGTCCCCGCTGGCGAGAGGCGGCGCCTGCTGCAGCTCTGGCGTGCGTGTGCCTCATGGGGAGGGGTTGGGCCGTGTTCCGTGGGCCTGCTGGCCGCTTGCGTTTCCCCTTTGGAGAAGTGTCTTTGGCGCCCTTCTGCTGGCTGGGTCTCTTTCTGAAGGCCTCTGGTCAGAGACCGGGCCCGACTGCGGGACGACTGCCGGAAGTGGCCTCTGCCAGGGGAGTGGGCCTGACGTGGGTCGGCCAGTCCCCCTCCCAGGAAGGAGGGCTGTTGGTTGCCAGTCGTGCCGAATCACCTCAGCGGTGGGTCAGAAGGATCAGCCCGAGTGCTGTGATTGTGGCCCCCTGTCGCCTGCCACCTGCAGGCGGGGGGTGCGTGTGCTCGCGGGACCAGGCTCTGCCAGCTGCCGCTGGAGGCTGGGCTGCCTCTGACGGGGCCTGTAGCTCAGTGTGCTCCCAGTGCTTTTCACCTAAGCGGTGCCTCTGCCGCCGGGGGGCCTCTCCCTGCCTCACGTCCTGGTGGGCGTCCCGTCTGGCCAGGCCCACGCCGTGCACGGGTCGAGTCCATCCTGCCGCGCCTTGCTGCCGTACAGCGTGTGGGAGCCACCACACGGCACAGCAGTTTGTTGTCCGGCGCTGGTCTAGAAGCTGCGCGACGGGTGCCTCTTCCGAGCTCGACGAGAGGGTAAGCGTGGGCCTGTCTTCCTAGGCTCTGGCCGCGTGACCTTCAATAACCAGCGTAGTTACTTGAAAGCCGTCAGCGCGGCCTTTGTGGAGATCAAAACCACCAAGTTCACCAAGAAGGTGAGTGGCCGGTCTGGGTCTGGGCTCCCCGGAGGTCGGGGTGGGGCCATGGGCCTGGCGGGGTGGGGGTGGCCTCTGCCCGCCTCCCCTCCGGCTTGGGCTGGGTTGGCGAGCTGGAGACAGGCCGTGTCGCAGCCGGCCCTGCCTGGGTCTTCGTGGCTCCCTCCCGTGGGCCCCAGCGACACGCCCTGGGTGGAAGAGGCCTCACCCACCCCGGCCTGCCCCTGCAGGTCCAGATCGACCCCTACCTGGAGGACTCCCTGTGTCATATCTGCAGCTCTCAGCCTGGCCCTTTCTTCTGTCGCGATCAGGTGAGTCCCCCTGGAGCGCACCACGGCCCTGCTGGGTCTGACATAGGGTATTCTCGGGGCCTTGTGGCTGTGTGCGGGGCTGGGGGCAGCAGTCCTGGCTGTGGAGCCGCCGGGGTGTGCGCTCCGCTGGGGGAAAGCCCTGGGGAGCTCTCGGCCTTCACCCCGGGGGCGGTAGGGACCGAGGCTGGCGGCAGCCTGGCGTGTGGGGGAGGCTGCACCTAGAGACGGTGCTGTTGTCTAACCCCAAGGCCTCTGGGTGCCCCTTCTTTGTCTCTGGTTAGGATCCGAGTTGTCAGGAACAGGCCACTCGCAGTTCCGGGCGGGGGGCGGCTGGGGGGCGCGAGTGGGGTCTGCACCGCGGGCAGGAGCCCGCCCTGGGTGGGCAAGTGGGGGCGTCCCTAGAGCCTGGTGTCTCCGCTGGTCAGGCCTTGGGGGCGAGCGGCCCAGGACCACTCGCAGGGGCCCGGAGCTCCGCTCCCTCGGCGCTGACCCTTTCTCCCGCTCGCCCCGCCCCCCGCCCCAGGTGTGCTTCAAGTACTTCTGCCGGAGCTGCTGGCACTGGCGGCACAGCGTGGAGGGTCTGCGCCACCACAGCCCCCTGATGCGGAACCAGAAGAGCCGAGACTCCAGCTAGAGGGCGGCCGCCCCGCCCCGCCCCGCCCCGCGCAGGACGCCCAGGCTGGCCGGTGGGGCGCAGGCCGGCCCGGGCCAGCAGGGGGCCGCGCCGTGACATTTGCACCCGCTGACCTGTCTTTCTTTCTGCACTGATTAACGCACAATGAGTTTTGTCGGGTTTTGTTGTCGGGGTGAGCGGGGCGCGGACCCCCGCTCGCCTCCAAGCGACTCTGTAGTACTCCCAGATTTTAGTTCCTCATTTTGCCGATGAAAAGCAAAAAAGAACTACGTGTCCGGAAGTGCCGACCGCACGCCTGCCCAGCCCGTCAGCGCTTCCCCGTCCCTCCCGCACCGCTGCGGCGCCGCGCAGGCCGCAGCCCGGCCGGGCCGTACAGTGCCTTCCTGGCTGGCCGCCGGGCGGCACGCGCCGGGCGCTCAGCTGGTGTTTTTACTGCGGACAGCACGGAGCCTCTGCTCTCATTTAGACCAAATCACATTTCATATTTTACGCTCGAGGGTTTTTACCGGTTCCTTTTTACACTCCTTACGACAGTTTTTAAGTAGTTTGGAACAGATTTTTTTTCTTTCCTGGCAGCTTTTAACATTATAGCAACTTTGTGTCTGGGGCTGCTGGTCACTGTTTCACAGTTGCAAATGGGGCGTTTGCAACCAAGGAAATAAAATTTTTTTTGGATTTGAAACTGGCCCCCGGGGTGTGCGCAGCTGCTGTACATAGTTTTAAATGGTTTACTGCACCTTCGTCAGGGGCGCTGACGGGGGGCTGCTGGGCGTTTTCCCCGGTCACGGGGCTCTGGCTTTCTGGCGGAGCTAAAGGGCTGCTTTCCGGCGGGGCAGGGGCGTGGGCGCCGCCACGCCGGCCGGCGCTGCGATGCTACTGGAATCTGAAAACTTGACTTTTCCTTTCTTTTTCTTTTTTAAAAAAACAATCGACTCGCCCTCCTTGGGAAGCTGTGTGCCAAAGAACCAGCGTCATGCCCCCGCTGAGCTGACCTTGCGTCTCGCATTCCCCAGCTACTCGTGGGTCTCGTGAAGCGTGTGAAGTCTCTACCTCACTGTAGTGCAGCAGGCGCCACGGCGCGGCGCGGCCGTGTAGTTTTCTTGGCACATAATAAACACGTTGCAGCAGAGCTCTGTCTGTGTCTGAGTGGGGCGCTGGGGGGGCAGCGCCGTCTCCTGGACGCCCTGGGGGCGCGGGGGGCCCTCGGGGCCGCCGCTGGCAGGCGAGAGGACTGGGCTGGGGGGGTGAGCAGCCTTCGGGCCGGCTGGGGGGGTGAGCAGCCTTCGGGCCGTCTTTCCGGGGGCTCCTCACAGCTGGGGCCGAGCTTGGGGGGCCCACGGGGTCTCCCCCAGCTGGGGCCGAGCTTCCTGTTGCAGCTTGTCAACCCTTAGGCTGCAAGAGCTGTTCCGCAGGCCCTGGAAACCTGCTTCCGGAGACCCCCGAACCCTCAGGGTGCAAGACCTGGGGGGGCTGGCTCGTCCGAACCCCGCCTCCCCGCCAAGCCCTCCCAATCTCCATTTGGCCCTTGCGGGTGGGATGAAGCCAGTCAGCTCGGGGGAGGCCGGCCCCCTTTGGTCTCCTGTCCCCGGGGACGCCCCTCTCGGGGCTGCTGCTCCCCCTCCAAGCCCGAGGTGCGCCGCGGTGGGTGCACCCGCTGGGGTACGGCCGCCGAGTCCTGTTCAGCCAACCTGACCTGCCAGTGGGCTGCTGCTGTGGCAGCGTTGTGGGTGGGGAGAGCAGAGAGGGGCCGAGAGCCCCGGGGCAGCGCACGTTGGGTTCAAGTTGCGGGGTGGCCGAGCAGAGGGGCCGGTTTCCCTGAGCTGGAGGACCAACGCCTCAGGCGGCCAGGGGCCAGCGGCGCGGGGCCAAGACCCTGCCCGTGGGCGCTGCGCCATGCGCCGGGCC